GCCACCTCACCTAGTCTGAGTAATTTAGTTTTTTTTTTTTTAATTTTTTTTCTTTTTACATTTATTTAGTGTGTGTGTGTGTGTGTGTGTGTGGCCAGCTCAGCCCACCAGGGGGCGGGGCTGACTGGCATGTGGTGCTGGAAGATCGAACCGCTGTCCCTGTGCTTTGCCAAGTTTGTTCCAAGTAGGTGCTTTAGACCACTGAGCCATCTCACCAGCCCCTGAGTAATTTAATTTTGATTTTTTTTATTTTAGTACAGGGTCTGCAGGGTCTCGCTACGTAGCTCGGACTCGTAGTGATCTGCCTGTGTTCAGCCTCCCAAGAGCTGGGATTACAGGAGCATCACCACGCCGTCTCAATGCCATCTCAGTGTGCCCGGGGGCATGGCTGGCACTGCACGACAGGCATCAAATCGTCTCCCTAAACAGGTGCTTTAATCCGCTGAGCTATTTGGCTGGCCCAATTTTGTTATTTTAAAAGAGGATTATGTGAACAATTTAAATAATGGAAAGAACTACAAAGAAGAAAATAAAATTAGATATTTTGTTTCTTAGAGATTTCTCTTTTAACATCATGGATATTTTGTATATTAGTGGCTTTAACCCTTTCAATATGGAGTACGAATGGAATTTTTATTGTTAGATTGTAACTCCACCTTGTTTATGCTGTTTTTCTTCTACTGCAGATGTTTTTTTTTTTTTTTGGCAAAGCCATGTTTATTGTCTGGGTTAAACCAGTGGAGACAGGAGTGGCGACCGGAGAACGCGGATACACCCTCCCCCTCATGCCCACAGCAGCTAAGCCTGCAGCTGCTCCTAGGCTCTGGGAGCCACCAGTGGTGGCTGATGAGTCCCTTGCCTGAGGTGCAGCCTGTGAATTCATGTCTTGCGGGAGGCAGTGGTCCCCTTCTTCTTGAGCGGGGCCTTCAGCAGTGCCAGCTTCTTGGGCAGGTCGGAGCTGGCTTTCATCACCACCTCGTGCTCGGTCTTCTTTCGAATCCCCATCTCCAGGTCCTTCTTGATCTTCCGCTGCTGCACGATGCGCGCTTTCTTGGGGGCGATCACCCGACCGCCTTTTCTCGGCCCACGGTTTCGTTCCGAGGCTGCCGCCGCGGCCTTGCTCTTAGCGGGCTTTTGCGCCTGGAACTTGCGCTGGCCCTGCGCCATGCCGAGACGCGCGCCGGAAGGGGCGGAGCTGCAGATGTTTTCATTTCTACGTGATTGTGTTTTTCTTTCTAATTTACGTACACTGCGATGCCAGGATTGCTTAGATAGGTGTAATGTGTTTCCTTACAGTATGCACGCATGGGCTCTGGGGCCGCATTTGCACTTTGGATTCATCTTATACCCGTAAAGTGTGAGGAAGGGCCCACGAGCTGGCTCAGTGGACTGAGCACCTGCTGAGGCAAGTGCAGGGCCTGCGGTTTGCTCCCCAGCACTACATGCTATGTGGGCCCCGCCCTCTGGGCAGCCCCTGAGACCCGGCATGGTGGCATATGCCTGTAATCCCAGTGCTGGGAGGCTGAGAACAGGAGGGTCACTAGGAGTCCCAGCTGTGTAGCAAGATCTTGTACCAAATATGTAACTTAAAAACAACAAAAACCCAACAATAAAGTATGAGGAAGTCGCAAATCTTTATTTTTAAATTGGCTAGCTTACTTTGTTTCCCCCTATGCTAGGGATCAAACTCAGGACCAGGCAGGCACTTAAGCTCCTGAGCTGTCTCCCCAGCCCTACCATTCTAATTCTGATATTTATTAAATTAGCCATTTTTTCCTCACTGATGTGAAATATCATATCAGGTATTAAATCTTCAAATGTGATTAGGTTTATTTCTCTGTTCCCTATTATGTTTTATTTGGTGTCATCTTGTGCTAATAAGAACAATAAATTTAAGTAGTACTAAAGTTTAATTACTGTAGTCTTATAATGGGTTTTAATATGCAGTAAGGCAAATCTCAATAGAAATTTTTGGTTATTCCTTTATAAAGTATGTCAATTTATAGTATTTTCCAACATGGTTCAAGGGATCATCTTTTGAAATAATCTCTGCTCTAGTTTAGAAACAGTCATTTAAATTTTTTGTTATAAAGTGAGTTTCAATCTTTATGAAAGACTAGGATTCAATTTTAGTCATATGAAAAGTAACTATACCAAATTATTAAATGAGTAACAACTTAGCTTTAGTTTGATCCTGTGATAATTTTATTCTCAGTACTCTCCAGAACCATGATAATAAAAGTACTCTTAAGGATGTGGTTCAAATTCATTTCAAATGTCTCATGTTTGGGAATAAAGATATTCTGAATAAATAGTCGAAGTGGCAGGAATTTTAGCTAAAAGTCATAATAAGGGGAGAACTCAGTAATCTGGCCCACTCTCAGTTCCCTGTGGGCAGGATATCCGTGTCACTAGCTGGCTTGTTGGTTTGTCCAGGAACAATTCTCTCAGGTGCAGACTTGGCCATGAAATGCCAGCCCGCGACTGCCCTTTCCTGTCCCCCAGTGTGAGGTGACCCCCTTCTTCCCACTGCAGACTGGCCAGAGTGCTGCTGGCTTCCCGCCTCAGGAATCAAAATCTCCCTGTGTCCTACTTTTTGTGACTTAGGAAGAAAATATATATATATATATTCTGTTAAAACTTTGGATTTAGGAGATTCAAGGTTGGTGGGCTTTAAAAAAATAAATTTTTTAAATTCTAAAAAAAATTTGTGTTCTTTGTATAATATTTGAAAACTGTGGACAATCGTGATAAAAAATAGTGGCACAGGGAAATGTTGCCATGTGCTCCTCGTGTTTCCGACCCCTCTCTCCACCTGCGCGTGGGGTGCTCAGGCGTCAGATGCTCCGAGCGTTCCCGCCGGGGCAAACTCGTGGCGGACATTTGTGGTGGACACGTACGTCATGTAGAGGCATTGTATATCATTTACACATTTTATAAACTTTCTTGCTTCTCTCTCTCTCTCTCTCTCTCTCTCTCTCTCTCTCTCTCTATATATATATATATATATATGTATAGTTTCCTTGAAGAAAAATTTTCTTTCATTTTCTTTATTTTAGTTGTCAGTTTAGAAAAATTCCCGTTCTGTGAGAGTGCTAGTAGCAATATACAGCACCTATATTTCATTAATTTATCAGTTCATTGATTCACTTAATGAAATTTTTGAGATACATGCCAGGCAGGCACAACTTAAAGATACTCAAAAATATTTGATGCCTACGTACTTATAGACCACAGTAGCATGCGAAGTACTGGTGGAGACAGATCAAGCGAGAATTCCGTGCTGCTGTAAAGAATGGAACCTATAGAATCTGTTTAAATTTTCCTGCTCTTAGGATAAAATTCATTCTCTCTCTCTCTCTCTCTCTCTCTCTCTCTCTCTCTTTGTGTTTAGTACAGGGTCTGCAGGGTCTACAGGGTCTCCCTACACAGATCGAACTCGTAGTGATCCTCCTGCTTTCAGCCTCCCAAGTGCTGGGATTACAGGTGTGCACCACCATGCCCAGTCTGAATTGCCCTCCCTACGTGCCCTGGGGGCCGGGCCGGCACAGCACTCCAGGGCTCAAACCCCTGCTGCTGTGCTCTGCAGAAGCAGGCGCTTTAGTCCCCTGAGCTGTCAGGCTGGCCCTAATTCTTTTCTCAGAATAAAATTCTTATCCTAGTTCACAAGGCTGTGTACACTCCAGCCCTCCCTGTGTAACCAGAGCTTTGTCTCTTTCAGACTTTGTGTTCTGGACACGTTGGCATTTCATCATTCTTCCAGTAAATCATGTTTTCCCGCCCTAGAAATGTAAGGTATACTAGTTTTTAATGAAAATTATAAAACAGAATGCCTATTCTTAAGAGAAATGAATGTATCAGTATTTCTGAGTGTGTATTTATAACTCTGTAAGGCTAATGCTCTGTGCAGCATTCTTTTCTTAAAAAGTAAAGTGAATTATTGCAAATAAACACAAGCATTTTCAGTTATATTTGTTCCTTTTTCAGATTATGTAAGTCTCAATTTTTCCTCATTTGAAGTTATGAAGCACACACTTATGAGCTACATTTAATCATATTTTAAAGTAAGAAAACATTTTGTCTGTACTCTCGATTTGATTTGAAACTGTCTCATTGCTATATGTTTATCAATAAAACTTTGAAAAGAAAAAAAAATTGAGTGCAAGTAACTGTAACACTTACAAAAAAGTCCTCTGTATTAAGAATGTAATCACTTCGCATACTGATGTGATTTCAAAATTACCTTTGTAAAGTCAGGCAGCAAAATAAAGTAATCTTTTTTAAATAAATAAAAAAAAAAGAAAACATTTTGTGTTATAAATTTAAGCCATTCTGTTTTTTTTTTTTTTTTTTTCAGAACCGGGGATTGAACTCAGGCCCTTGCGCTTGCCAGGGAAGCACTTATTCCACTGAGCCACCTTCCCGGCCCCTTTAAGCCAGTCTTGTGTTTAAAAAAATGCTTTAGTGTTGAGATAGGAAAGAAATGTAGGAAATGCCATAATGTAAAAAGAAAAGAAAACAATTAGGCTGTGTATGGAAATAGTGACCTCTTAAGTGGGACTCTATTCTGAAAATAGTGCAATAAGATTTTAAATAAGATTTCAAAATACTTTCTCTAATTACAATAAAACAGACGTAGCTGTTCTTTTCTTTTTATACTGGGACTCAAACTCAGGGCCTCATGCCAGCCAGGTGGGCACTGTGCCCCTGAGCTGCTCCCGGCCCTGGCCGTCTTGTGAGCGAGAGAGCTGGACTGGCTTTGGTGTGTCTGCTGTGGATGACGGCAGATTACGGCTTAGTGGAGTGAGATGGTTGTATTGCTACGTGTTTGGCATTGCTTGTTTTCTGCGGTTAAAGTATAATTGTTCTACGAGTCTTTTGGCTTTAAAAGGAGAAACTGATGTGCTAGTTTTCACTTCAAATTGTGTTTAATCACTTAAGTAACTTTTATCAGTCTGGCACCATCTAACATGTACCTTATTTTTCCTTAATTTTTAAAGTCAATACAGAAGATTAAGCTCTACAGAAGAATGCAATCAAGTGATGGCTTTTTCTTTAGAGTTTGAATATGGAGGCCACGGGAACAGATGAAGTTGACAAGCTAAAAACTAAATTTATATCTGCTTGGAACAACATGAAATATAGTAAGTATCATGATGTAAGAATCTCATAAATCCGAAGTGTTTGAAGATCTGTGTCGCCTCCTTAAATCACTGATGATGACTTGAGAATGAATGGAGATACTCTATGTAAAGCGGCATATTTGTGTAAGGGGCGTAGGTAAGAGCCTCCTGAGCAGATATCATGACAACACTACCTAGAGTTCAAGCGTACTTTTCTCCTAACTGGGTAGAGCGTATTGCTGTGCTTCTGGCTCATGTCATTTTCTAGCATTGTGGTGCAGACAGAGCATATGCAGGGGATGGTAAGGCCTCAGTGCTGCACATTCGGTTTCAGGCAGCCTCTCGGGCGGCGAGCAAGCAATCAGCAAAACTGGCCCCCGAGCACCAGCGCAGATGGAGTGGTCCTGGTCCGTCCTCCAGACTCTCCTCCCGCATACCCTCAAGGCTTTATTTTTGGCCTGATTACTCTTGGCAAACAGCATCCAAACAAACAAGCAAATCTAGTAGGGTTGGTGGAGATGTTGGCGCCCTCGAGGATGGAGTAGTATTTAGGCAGAACTAGTTCCAACAGGAGAAAGTTCATACCCTAGAACAGGGATGACACGAAATTGAGAAAGAGCCCTAGATGGTGCAAGTTCTGATCCAGACATAATTGATCCTTGACAGCTGGTCCCCGGGAAGCGATAGCCTACGGCTGGATACACAGTTGGACCTTGGCACTCACATGACATTGCGCCTTTAGGAGTTTAAACCTGGGGATAACCCACTACTATTCTGGACTACTGGACTGTATTGGAATATTTTGCTGAATTCACACACCTGCAGTATTTAAATGACAGTGGATACAAAAAAAAAAGGGGATACAAAAAGGACCATTTTGTATCTGTATATTCCAAATAGGATAGATATGCAGTTACTTTCTCTTAATTCAATGAATAGAAAGATTTGTTCTAATAGTGTTTGTAGACAGGATATCATGTCTGCATCTTGTACAATGAATAACCACTAAGAAGACAACAATATGCAATGTATTAATTATTGAAACTGTCCTACTGATGAGTTTTGAAACTGTCTCATTGTTAGTTGCTTCTCAATAAAATTATTTAAAAAACAACAACAACAAAAAAAGAGTTTAAACACTGGGCCAGGGAGATAGCTCAGTAGAATAAGTGCTTGCTGGGCGTGCGCAGGGTCCTGAGTTCAATCCCCGGTACCACACACACACACACACACACACACAAAAGAGAGTTTAAACATCATTTTATTTTTTGGGGGGGAGAAGGGTCTACAGGGTGTTCAGGGTCTCACTACTAGATCAAACTTGTAGTGATCCGCCTGTTTACAGCCACCCAAGAGCTGGGATTACAGGTGCGCGCCACCATGCTCAGTCTCAGTTGCTGTCTCAGTGCACCCCGGGGGCGGGGAATGAACCCTCAGCCCCTGTGCCTGCTTGCAGATACTTTAATCCGCTGAGCTATTTGGCCAGCCCTCTCATTTTTTTTTTTTTTTTTAAACAATGAGATGTATTGCATATAACTCTACAATGTCCCTTTCTAAAGTGTACAGTTTTCATTTACTTTTTGTGGTGCAGGGCACTGAACCGGACCTCATGCCCTCTTAGCATATGCTCTACCACTGAGCTACACCGTCCCCAATTAAAAACAATGTTTTTGCTGATTTTAGAATCATCACTAATTCCAGAGCATTTTTATCACCCCCAAAAGTCACTTTGTACCTATTATCACCACCCCCTGTTCTCCAGTCTGTTTTGTTTCTGTGGATTTCACTCTTCTGGACATGTAGTACAAATGGAACCATGGGATTGGTAGCCTTCGCATTCGGCTCTTGTCTGCACAGAAAGTTTGTCAGTATTAATAGCATGTATGTATTGTGCTCATTTTTTATATGACTGAATAATATTTCATTGACTATCATGCTTGTTCACCTTTTATCATTTGATCATACTTGAGTCATTTCTGGTTTTGGCTATTCTGAGTAGCGTTGCTATTAACGTTTGTGTGCAAGGCTTTGTGTGAACGTATCTGTTTAAGTCTGCACACTAGATTCTTTATAGCAGTGGAATTGTTGGGTCATACGTTTAACTTCTGATGAACTGCCAGCTGCTCTAGAGTGGCTGTATCACTTCATCCTCCCTCAGCAGCATTAGGGTTTGACGTTATCCACATTCTCCCGACACTTAGCAGTGGCCCCTCAGTGGCTGTGAAGTGAACCCTCACTGTGGTGTTGGCTTGCATTTTGCTGATGAGGTTATGACTAGCCTCTTTTCATGACCTTACTGTGTAGTTGTATTTCTTCTTTGGAGAAATGTCTATTCAGACCCTCTGCCCATTTTGTAATTTGTGGTACTTTTTTTTTTTTTTTAAAAAACATGAGTTGTAAACAGTGTTCTTTACATAGTCTAGATACAAATCCATTAGTAAATGCGTGATTTGCAGATATTTTCTCCTATTCTTGAGTTGTCATTTTCATGAGAGTGATCACTGAAATGTAAAACTTTTAATTTGCTGAAGTGCACTTTCTCTATTTTGTCTTTTGTTGCTTGGGTGTGTGTGTGTTAATAAAGAAACGTGTATTTATTTATTTATTTATTTATTTATTTATTTTGTGGCGCTGGGGATTGAACTCAAGCCCTTGAGCTTGCCAGGCAAGCGCTTATTCAACTGAGCCGTCTCCCCAGCCCAAGAAACTTGTTTAAACCAAGATGATGAAATTTATATGTTGTTTCCTTCTGGGAGTTTTGTTTTAGCTTTTGCATTTAGGTTTTTGACCCATTTTGAATTATTTTTTGCAAATGGAATGAGGTAGGGTTCCAACTTTATTCTGTCATATGTTGTTATCTAGTTTTCTTAGCATCATTTGTTGAAAAGTTTTATTTTTCCACTGAATAGTCTTAACACATCTATCTAAAATCAACTGACCATAGATGTGGAGATTTATTTCTGGACTCTGAATTCTGTTCCATTTATTGTTGTGTTTCTCTTCATTCCTGTACTACACTGTCAGGGTTGCTCTAGCTTGTAGTAAAGTATGAAACTGTGAAACGAGTCTTTCAGCTTTGTTTCTGGTCGTTCTGGATCATTTATATTTTGATACGAATTTTATGATCATTCTGTCAAATTCTGTAAGAAAGGGATCTGACTGAATCTGTAGATCAATTATAAGAATATTGCCAGCTTAACAATATTAAGCTATCCAGTTGATGAACACGTACTTCTATTTTTTTTTAATTCACTTTAGTGATTTTAGTATCTTCGTGTGTGTGTGTGTTTGAGACAGGGTTTCACTATGCAGCTCAGGCTGGCCTTGAACTCACTTTGTAGTCCAGACTGGTCTCAAACTTGCTGCAATCCTCATACCTCAGCCTCCCGAGTGCTAACTCACTCTTTTTTTTTTTTTTTTAATTTT